TCCTCACCTGGGTAAGGATGGATGCCATTAGTATAGATGGGCTCCGATGTTGGCTGGCCATTGCTTTGAGGTGGTAGGGCACTGAAACCGTTAACCCCAATAGGTGTGGCTATGCTTGGCACGGCTGTAGCAGAAATGCCTGGGGGTGTGCTGGTGCCTGCAAACAGATGTTGAGCTTACCAAGGCAAGTTGATTGCAGCGAGTTGATTGATAAGGCATAATGCCAAACAAGAAGAGGCGTTTTAATTTCCTCCCTCAATATATGATATTGTTAACTGAAAAAGAAAATCACAAAACAGTAGCATAACTGTCCCATACCAAACTCAGGCTTTCTATAACACCCAAGTCACCTTTTGTTATATGGTCATAACTCTGGGTTCAATAGATAATTAGTCTATAATTAGGCAATAAGTGCAATCAAACACAGAAAAACGAACCTTGGGATTAATGTTGGGCGACATATAAAAGCTCAATAATTTTGGCAGCATTTTCCCAATGTATGATGCTTTGTGTTTTTAAGTCAAAGATTAAATTTATCAATCAAATATTATTAAAAGTATGTTTATGTTGAAATTTCAACTCAAAATGCTAAAGTGAGATGTTAATGAAAGCTATATACTTAAAAAAAAAAATCTTAGGCTTGTTGGCATTGTTGGTTCTAGTGACTCGTATGCCTGTCTTAAGTCGGGCATACACTGTACGATGTTTTTTTGCCCTTTTCGGGCTGATTGTCCAGTTGGCGAGAATTTTTTGATCGTGCTGAGTTTCAGCATCATCATGCGTCCTGCATCGTGTAGTATACAGAGGTAACGAGGACCGATTAGCCTCTCATGACCACCTACCGATCAGGAATCGGTAGGTGGTCAAAAATGTTTCAAATTCAGTTCGGCCATCGTGAGGTGTTTGCAAGCAAATCCTGCTGCCAAAGCAGAGCTATGAGCCGATATACCAGAACCTCATGTACTGCGCATTTGCAAACAAGAGAGCTCCTCTTCTTCTTCCAGATTGACTAGTTCAACCAGCGTTATCTCTCGGCGCTCAGTCCGATGTGTGGTTTTTGGTTGTGCAGTGTGAGCAGGTAGATTGCATCAGAGCGATCGGGTAGCACAGTGTGAGATCATGCATCGTGAGCTTTGAACTTTTAAACCCTGAGGTTTTGTCGTACAGTTTGAGCTGTAGTTGCGTGCAACGATTGAAAATATTGCACAGCATATGCCTGGCTTTAACAGGACAATGGTCTTAGGGCAAATAAGTTTTCAGCTAGTCGAACACACTAATATCATGGTTATTAAAGCATCAAAGTAGGTTTTGTTACTCTGTGATTCTGCAACATTGAGTTTGAAATACAATACAGATGTTTTTTCTTGTTTTTAACTATACTGAGGTCAGCTTGTTATAACATTGCCTGTGGTCCGACACTGCTTTGCCACAAGAACTACAACATGTGTAGCCAGTGTTCTGCATACATTTAAGTCCTATACGTCTTACAGACATTTAATCACCTTTTCCACCCTACTTTTTCCCTCCAGTGAACTTCTTATTAATATGCTTGAATACATCCCTCTGAGAACAACCACGAAGAACAACAAAGAAAAACCCCTTAAGTAATAAGCTAATGTGGTTGATGCTCTTGCAGTATAAGGTACCACCTGCTGAGCATTTGCTAAATCAGCACTCTTCCTGGTGATTTTGAAGGATAAATATAGCAATAGCAACATTTCTCTAATAAAATGTTTTATTAAATGGTGTATGTAATATTGCTCGGAGTATTAATTTACTGTAATTGAGGCATAAATAGAATTAAACTCCCTGTATGTAATACATCTATATAATATGTTTGTGACATGAAGACATATTTTCACTCTCTAAGTTAAATTAATAGATTAAGTTAAATTTTTCATTATAGTCTAATTTGCTTAAATGCACTTGCATGCTACACTAAATGCACAAAATGTATTTTACTTTGTTCCTCTAAGAATCAGAGTCTGTCACCTTGCCAGTGGCCTTTTGTAATGATGGAATTTTATTTTTTTTTTCTTATCTGAGTGAAGGACATTTAAGTCATGTAGGATTATCTTTGATAGGTATTAGCAAGAATATGTAGGCCTTGTGGATTACAAATGCCAGGTACAGCATCAAGCCACTTTATATAATACATTTGCAACAGCCTAGCCTTCAGGCATCCTGCCTACTTAGTGTCAAGCCTTCAAAGCTCCTTATGACAAGGGCCAAAAAGATAGTTCAGACTGGGGTCCAGGATTATCTCACACAAATCTTTGCTATTATATTGTATAAGCCAAGGACTCTGCATCCCAAGTTATTGCATTGGCTGAGTTCCCAGAAAACACACAACATCAGAGAGACAGAGGGAGAATGTCACTTGCAGAGCAAGAACGAAGAGATAATGTGTGAGCAGAAAGGAGGTAGGAACTATCATGTGCCTGCCAATGGTGTATGGATTTGCACTACATCTTCTATCACCAAGCCTCCCTCAGCACAAGCTTCTACTTTCTTTAATTTAACTTATGAGTTTTGGCTTTACAGTAAAACAGAGCTTAGATCTAAAAGCAAGTAAGTAAACTTTATTTTTATAGCATCTCTGAGAGGTCAAAACAACAAAGTGATTTATAATAAAAACACATAAAATGGAGAACATTAACAATTAAACTTCTCCATCAATAAGTTTTTAGTTGTCTTTAAAAGGTTGAACGAATCAAGACAGTATAGAGATTGTGGCAACCCACCTTGCCAATGTTAAGGGCAAGGGATTTATATCCTCTGGTCTTAAAAAGCATTTGTGGAACCATTAACAGCCTTTGGCTGGTATACCTCTGATGTCTAGAACAGATGTAGAGCTCTAGAGGATCCAAATAAAGAAAGGGTCTCTAAAAATAAAGATTTACAAATGCATTCAACGAGGTACTGTAGTAAGTGTAAAAGGACTTCTAGTCTCTTTATCTTTCTTGTGTTGCTTGGAAGCCTTGCAACAGCATTCTTAACTGACTATAGAAGGATGAGATATTTATTATTTATTGTTTAAACAAATAAAATGGCTTTTACTATATTCAATACTAGATTTAAAAAAAAATTGTATAATAGGCTTTACTGCAACTTTGACCAACTTTGGTTTGATTTATTTGTTTGCTAAAAACACAAACAAACATGCAAACAAACAAAAAAACAGTCCCTAATTTTCTATGAAAGATTGGCCCTCCAATGAGATAGAAGGATCTAAAAAATGACAATGTTATTAAGGTTTGGTTTGACAAAAAATATACTTAAGATACTACAACAGCTTTAAATAAGGCATCATCTTGAAGTAAGAGTAAATATTAAAAAATCACCATCCTCAACATATGATAACACAGCAGAAAATTTCTAATTATTTGGTGTTGGGGGAAAATATGTAAAAGAAATAGAAATTCCTAACCACCCAGGCTCTTGGAATCTGACATGATCTGGTTTGCTAAAACACCAAGAATCCAAGCAGGAACTATTACATTGCTTAGGCAAGAAAAACAAACGTGCATACAATAAGTGATCTATAGAGCATGCATGACCAAAACATAAGATGTGCAAACCTGTTTAGCTCCGCCCCCTTTATAGTGTACTTTGAAAAAGTATCTACAGTACTACAAACAAAAGAAACTAACAAAAAAGAGGAAAATGAAAATGACAAATATTTAATATTAAAAAAAATTGAAATAAATCTTAAAATATTGCTCAACAAGATAGGGGCATAATAACCGAATAAAACGTTACTATGCTTCTTGAGGAGCTAGTCAATTAACATTGAAGGTTTGGAGAGTCCTTTGACATACTCTTTAATTGTTGTTGTCAATTGGATGTTAATATACTTTTTTTCTGTTTTAAAAATGCTGGAATATTTGGTTCAATTATGATTTTCTTTTTTTTTTTCAATTGCATATAGAATTGCTCCCCATTGCATTAATCTGTTCCAAGCTGTGCAGAGGTGTTTATTTTTTCTACCTATAAAATTCTACTAATCTAGTTTTTGTCCACATATGTTTGCATGCACACAGACTCTCGATCACCTATCGTCGTATCATTGTACCAATGCCTTGTTGGGCCATAAAATGACCTCAGACATTTTTGCCTGTAGGATTGCTCCCTTACTTCAAACAGCATTTACATCATGTTCAGTTTTGATATATAATTTGGGGGGTATTGATTGTTTTATTAGAGTCTTAATTAGTCACTTCATTTGGATGGGACTAAATTGATCTCAGATAATAAAGTAAAAAAATCTTGGTGTTACTTTTGATCAGGACCTGTCATTTAAATCCCATATCAAAGAGGTTAGAATTTGGATTGAATTTAACTGAACTTGAATGTTTTTGTATACTTTTTGAGTACAGATTTAAACTAATTCTATATTTCTGGATATTTCTGGGAACAGTTACCTGTATAAATTCTCAGTTATCTGGGTCAAGGAAACCACAAAAAAGGCTTAAATTGGAAGGAAACTACACTTTTGCTCAGTTAATTTCTCCAAATCCATAACTCCAACTACAGATTGCTCTGGTGCGAGCCGACAGAATTGACAAAGAATCCTGGATAGGTGTTGAACCCTGTGGAAAAAAAGCTAAACAAAAGTTTGGTTGCCTTTCAATTCAAGCCTGTTTTTCAGGGCCCGTTGGATCTTCAAATCATAGACAATAAAATGAGTTTTGTCATGAGATTTCTTGTGATTTGATGCTATATAAATAAACCAAATCCCAATTAATTGAATAGAAAGAAGCAACATAAAAAATCATAATGTAATATGCCTTAATGATTTTAGTAATTTTCTGAATACTAAGTGGGAAGTAGCGTCCTAGTGGTTAGGGCATTGTGCTTGGAATCCAGAGGTTCTTAGTTCTAGCCCCACTCCCACAGACTGCCACTCTGGGTCCCTGAGCAAAGACCCTAACCCAGCACTGCTCCCAGGGCGCCGAACGATGGCAGCCCACTGCTCCCCTTGGGGATGGGTTCAATGCAGAGAGTTATTTTCGTTGCTCTGTACTTGTGACAGTGTAATCACAATAAAACATGTTTCCCTGCATCTGTGAGCTATTATAAGACAACCATGATGAATGATAACTTGTCCCAGTGAACTCTAAGACTTAGTGCTTACCTGAAGACGGTGTCATGGGAGTAGCCACCAGACCATTGACATTAAAAGCTGCCATTTGCTGCATTTGTGCAGCAGCAATGGCGGCCATAGGGTTCAGGTAGGACCCTTGTGTTGCTGCCATCAGGGCTGCTTGCTGTTGCATCATCTGCTGTAGGATTAAAGAGCAGTGGGGGGAGAGGAGAATGGTGAGAGGGATAAAGGGGAGGAAAGAAAAGGAAAGATGAGTCATACAGCTGCAAAACAGAGCATGTTTTCTCTCACATGTGTTTTTTAGGTCCATGCCTTGTTCTTGAACTGAATGACTTGGGTTGTCCTGCAGCTTTGCTTGCAGGCTACTATAAGGCTTTGCTGGCCTTGTGCTCATTACATGGAAGGAAGATAAAAGCAATAAGAATGCTGAATTCGATGTATACCTGTATGTCTGTATATGGGATTAAAAAAGCAGTAATGGCGGGGTTCAGTCACAGAGTTCGAGAGATAGAGTGCGAGTGGGCGATTCTCACCTGTCAGGATGAGTTGTTAGCTACTGTGTGAGTGCAAAATCTCACAGACTCCTAACTCAGACTGTGACTTTCATGTGTGAATATGAAATAGGGGTGGGCCTGGCTGACAGGAAAGGGCGTAAGGGGTGAACAGGTCTCTTCTTTGTAATAAAATGCACCTCTTCTTGAGCAGAAAAGTATATCTAAAAGAGGCAGGCTAGAGTTAGCAGTTTAAATTCTTATACAGGTCAGGATACACTGGAATGAAAGATGAATACAAAGTGAACACTATATGCAGGGTAGATGTGCAAATATGACATGCATATTTCAGTTTAGAGATAACATCACAAACTCATTAAGGAAAAAAAAAATACAAGTAGATACATCGATCAGAACTATTTTAAAAAAAATTATCCTTAAAGAAGCTACAGACCATTTCAAATATAAGTGATTTTTCAATTGTGAATATTTCATAAAATTCTTGAGTGTCACATGCCTAGTTGGAGAGAAAGCAAAATCAAACCTCTGATCACAACATTTTGTTCTTTCTTTTTTTAAAGCTCACCGTCTCCTCTCCCGCTGGGCTGAGACTTACAGCATGAGAGTAGGCGCCATAGGCCCCAAACTGGATGGTCATGGGACTGAAGATGCCGAGCTGGCCCGCCATCTGGTGCATCCTCCGCAGGGTCCTCTCTTTATCAGTATCTGCAAATTTGACCACCAGGCTGGACGAGGCACCCTGCGACGACACATAGTTTACAAGGTTAACAGAATAGGCAACCAATGCTTGTAAGATTGCACTGCCTGAAATTTCAATCATTCATACAAATGGCAACAAAGCTTCCAAAGTATTCATACTAACTGAATGTTTTTCACATTTTATCATGTCAAAGCAAAAAATTTCATAGTATCTTATTGAGATTGATACTGAGATTGATGACAGACCAACACAGAGTAGCACACAACTGTGAACTGAAAGCAAAAGCATATGTGTTTTTAAAAGTCTTACAAACCCATTTAAAAAAGTGATATGTGCATTGGTATCAAATCCTGTAGTTTATTATTATACTACCTGCATTACGAAAGGAGGAAGTTAGCAAATCAGGTCAGTTTTTTGAAGGACAAAAAGGTTTTGTTGGAGAATATTAATAAACAAATGATATGTTGAAGAATCATTGAATGAATAAGTGAATGGATGAAAGAAAGAAATGAATAAAAGAAGAATAAAATAATCATTTATACCATACTGGTCAGGGTATAGTTGCTAAATGTTGAAAGCAGGGTTGGAAATCTATTCATTATTTTAAAACAGAAAAGGTATGGAATAAATGCACACCAATGATGACATCACCTATTTAGTTCAGTTCATTTCAGTTCAGTTTATTTACGTATATAGCACCAGTTTACCAGGTATGTCATCTGAAGGTACTTTACACTGTAGAGACAATTCAACCAGATCATACAATCATAAAGGTTCAAAGTATTCTATCTAAGGAAAACCTGCTGATTGTATCGACTCATTGTCTTGAAAGCATTCCCTCACACCAGGCATCTATCAGTTGCAACCTAGCCTAACTTGCCAGGCCTTTAAGAGAAAATTGATCACATAACCTAATCTGTCTAACATTTAAGTTTTTTTTTTCCTACAGTAAATGCAACACTTTTTAGAATCTAAATTGTAAAACAAACACATAATTAAGGAGTATGAATACTTTTGGTCTAATAATGTCAGTTTGACAAAGGTAACTCCTTAATCTCACTAAACAGAAATGTGGCAACATGAAGAAGTCCATAGTAACTCATGCAAAGAGTTTTTTTTTTCTTTGTCTGAAAGATTGTCTGTTAATATACTCAGGGGTGGCTTTAGGAAATTTGGGGCTCTAGGTAAACACAGGTATTGGGCCCTCTGAACTGAGAAGACAACTCATAATCCAGAACCATTATAATGATATAGAAGTTTTAATAGAAGAGACAAACATTATTAACAAAATTTTGACCTCCCTCAATTATGTTTTTCAGAAATTATATTACGGTATGTCTAGGGAAAATAACAATTCAATATATCTTTAATCATATTATGGAGAGTGAAAATGCCTTTTGAGATATCTCAAATTACATCACCTGATTTGTCATTTAAAGTGTCATAGATCAGGAATTATAATGAAGATATTTCAGTTAATTTGAACTAGTCAAAACTATATTTTTTCATTATCCGAATTATGAAATAGCCCCCTAGTTCTGTCACTGAGCTGTCCTAACAGTTGCCTGCAGAATTTTTCATGGCTGCAGTGGCACTGGCTCTTCTTGACAAAGTTGCTCCCAAATACCACAATATAGAAAGAACTCTGTGTGGAGAACAAGAACTTTGTGATCTCTAAGACTGCTTCAGAAATCTGTCATGAATTGCTGCAGGGAAGTTAGTTAGAAGCTGGATATTCAAGCTCTGCTGAGTTGGCCGCACCTATCTCACGATCGATCCGATTCAGGAGCTCAGACTTTACTGTTACTTCCCGTTCTTACGAGCGGTGAATCTTTTAGGGACCATCAACAAATTCCCGAACTAAGCACTCTTAAATAATAAAAAAAAAATAAATCCCTTGTCTCATGACCAACTGAAACAAAGGCTATATCCTGCTACTACATTACATAAATGAGGCATGGGGCCCCGAGACACACATAATATTATAAGTATTGTGATGGCCTTTTTAATTAAAGGATTTTTATCAAAAACATAATCAATATGCACAAATAAGTAAAAGCTGTATTAACCACACATGTAAAGTTTTATGAGGCCCCCAGGAACTTGGGGCCCTAGGCAACTGCCTAGTTTTGTCAAATGGTACAACCGCCCCTTAACATATACTCAACAAAGTTGATCTGAGCGAAGATATGATTTATAGGAAAATGGGGATATTAGATTTTAACTAACCTAAATCTAACTAACTAACATCTCGCATTTTACTTGCTGACAGCTGGAATGGGAATGTACAACCCAATCTCCAGTTTATATTACCGTCCAGTTTTCACATGAAACGCAAATGAATATGCACCTTGCAAGAGTGCACTCACTTAGCTGTCACCTTTCAGTGGAAGAGAACAGTGAGTGCTCTTTGCTTTTGTGAACCTTCCAACTCCACTGTATACACTAGGAGTGAACTGTGATCCTAACCAGATCCCACAGGAGTGCCAGTTTCCCACTGGTAAAGCTTCACTGAATATAGTGCGGGGTAATTAGGTTTGACAAAAGCCTTCGGCATGTAGAGGGCGAAGTATTGACTAATGGCTCTTCCTTATGGCAGATATAGTTCCATATTGATGTCCATGCTCCTGAGTTTGCATCCAATTAAATCATTTGAAAGACACAGTCCAGAATCACTTTCTCGTTTGGACAAAGGATGCAGGGTATGCATGAGTGAAAGACAAATATAGAGGCTTTGAGGCTACCAGGCAAAAAAGCAGACACTGTCAAGAGGACGTAGGTTCTATTTAATTACAGGCAGTGCATGCTTGGAAAGAACATGGAATACCATCAGGACAGAAAGACAGAAACAGCTGAGGTGAGTTGGGGGTTACGGCAATCAGGATACGATTACTAAGTTTTCTTAAAAGCAGACACATTAGGAGGGAAGGTCCCCGTGATCACAACTGAGAGCGATGAAAAATAGCCTTATCCTGACCGGTTCAGTGCAATTTTTGGCTTTGATTTACATTTCCATATTTTTTTAATGAGTTGAAAATAAAAATGTCAGAAGACTGTTAGGTACGGAAATGTCGAGCACATCTGTTTCTTGTGCAAGTATACAGGAACTTTCTAAATTCTTATGTTATTAACCAAATAACAATAATATAAATATTTATTTCACAGTTCTCTTATAAGTGAACAATGCAATTACTTTTACATCGTGATTACAGTTGATATAATAAAAGAAATGTGTTTATAAAGAACACAACTCTTGTTGCTGTTGCTGTTACCCAAAATTGGTCTTTAGCATTGGAAAGGAAATGTTTTGGCTGTAGATAAATATGAAGAAGAGTCTGGAATGATGGAAAGCATCACAGAGGACCCGCGGGACAGCGTATCTCAGATGGGAACCTATCAGAGCCAGCCAGCACCCCACCTCAGGCCAGAGGAGACCCATCTGTTGTTACTCCCTTGGTGTCATTTTAATTAGTTAAATCAATACTTGGATATGGCAGTGTTAACGGCACCAGTTTTCCTGTTTTAATTTCATTTCATTCCACCTCATGACCTTTTTTCTCTATGCTTTCTCAACTTTGTGGTGCAGTTTAGGGGACTGGGCGGTTAGATTTAATGAGGTTGGCAGTGAGCAAACATCTTCTTGCAGCCTTGTTGCACTACCCTGCCCACAGCATGGGTAACTGGCATTTAGATTCCCTAATTTTCTTCCTTCTGTATTTGTGTTTTCTTATATTCTTTTAATACCTCATGAAGAATGCATTATGAGTTTTGTGACAGTGAACGCCTGAGGCTGTCTGTAGTCACTACAGCGTGACTCCAGATGAAGCAAGTCTGGCTGGGTCTGCTACCTTCCAGCAGAGAGCTCTGTCTGAAGACACCAACACTGAAATGAACCTGCTCTGCAATGTTTCGGCATAAAGTCTGAACTAATATTAAATTCTTTTCGATTTGTCACCCAGAACAAAAATAAAATTATTGTCCCGACAAGCAGACCTCTCCATCAACAATATCTTAGTCAGGTTTTTCTCTCTTCAAACCAATAGGTATGGTACAGGTATGGTTTACACACATATATACATATACATATATATATATATATATATATATATATATATATATATATATATATATATATATATAT